TCCCAGTCAGGCAGTGCACAACTGTATATGGTTGTTGAATGACTAATCAACTACCAAATGCCATGGAAGCACTTACAGGTGAGATCTGGAAAATAAAACTGTCCTAGCCTGCTAACTCCTCCCACCATCCCACCTGAGCTGAGCACTCAGCAACACCCCAACATACTCCCCGTTGCAGTCACGCCGGGGCGGGGGGGCTTCTACATACACATTCCTGTCTAGGTAGTGGGGTGATGGTGATTCCAGAGGGCAGAACAGCTCCGACCGCCTGCCAGCACTCTGAAAGCTGCACCCCACTCCACACTTGCTGAAAAATTCCTAACCAGCAGCTTTATAGAAAGACATAGGATTAGCTAGCATTCCTGAGACAAAGGATGCATGCGACCAGATTGAAAAGCATAATTAAGTAGACCGTTCTCCGTATTGCAAATTCCAAATACCCAACTTTTTTCTGGAAAAACGTACTTGTCCAAGTTTTGTCAAACTTGTATCGCTCAACCTATTGTCGTGAATGACAAAGAAACGTACTTCTGATGCGGACATCACCCTTTATAAGCACAAGACTAACCAGGAGAATTAGAAGTCCTCTCCCTCAGCATCAACGATGTGAGCGGAATCAAATAGTAGTGGGAGAATATCAAAAAGAGTGGGAGAATATCTCAATGTTTTGTGCTTTTACAGTGAAACAACTATAGACAAAAGTAGACTTTTACGTTTAATTTTCTTTGTTGACATTTCTTTAGTTTTATTGGGAGTTGGCAAGCAAAACCCTCTGCCTGGTTTTCTTTTGTAAATAAAGTTTGATTGGCAAAGAGCCAGGCCCATCAATTCTGTGCAGTCTACGGCTGCTTCCCTAACTGCAATGCTTCCTAGACACAGCAGAGTAAAATCTTCTGCAGACACAAATACATTTCCCCTCTGCCCCTTTATAGAAGTCGTGCGCCAACTCCAGGCCTCGACAAGCCACACACAGAATGCCCCGATGCGTGGCGTTTGCCAGTTTCCGTGGCTACATTCTCTCGTCCTGGCCAGTCCCGAGCGTGGGGCCTGATGTCAGAGAGCGCAGCGCTAGGGAGATGCTCCCGGTTCCCACCCGACATGCGCAAGGTGAAAACCCCCTCAAGAGTGTAGATAACAGCAAAAGAACGAGCAGGCTGTGATTTGTCACTGTTGCCTTTGCTGGTTTACAATTGTGGCTGAAACAGAACTCACATATCCTAGAATTCACCCTTCTAAAGTTCACGATTCAGTGGTTCTCATCTCGTCACAGAGGTACACAACCTTGGCCAGTATGTGGCTCCAGAACATCCTCATTGCCCCACCCCCACCTCGAGCCCCTGGCAGCCGCCCCCGACCTCCGGCCCCTGTGGCTCTGCCTCTCCTGGACACTGGGCATCAGCGGAGCCCCAGCCCGGCGGCGCTGTGTGTCTGCCTGTGTCCTGGCGTGTTTTCAGGGCCGCCGGAGCCTCCCTCCTCTTTATGGCAGAACAGTTCATGCCTTTGTCTTAACTATATGCCTTTGGGCCTCCCTGGTGGCGCCGTGGGTAGAAGCACAGCACTGTGAAGCTGTCCGCAGCCACTGAAGCCTGAGTTCGATCCCCAACCAGGGAGTGACCCACATGGCGCAGCAGACCTCTCCTGTCTCCCTGCTGCTCCCCTCAGCGGTGTGTTTCAGTCTATCTGCCTGTTCTGCCCCCTACTCTGTCTCCGGTGAATCCTCTCATCCCCACACCTCTGGCCTGTGCCTCTGTTCTTGTATGCATAAATAAATACATCTTAAAAATAAATATAATGCATTTAACGGTGAGTTCATAGTCCACCATTTTTAATATGTCCCTGTTCAACAACTGGTTGGCAAAATTCCTGAAAATATAGCAAGTGGCTCCCATGAGCTAGGACAAGAGGCTCTGGCATGCTCTGGCCAGCCCCCGCCACATGAATTCTTCATGCCCCTCACAAAGGGTGTCAATAATTGATGGCTCTGCTCACACGGCTCAGCACAGCCGTGTGAGTGAACCCAGGGGCGTGAAGTAGCCCCTAAATGAATCCAACCTCCACAGCGTCCACCTGGGCCCCTGGTCTCCTCTACTCTGCCCCTGGCTCCCACCCTCAAGCCCCTCTCCACAGCAGCCTGAGCACCCAAGTCAGGTCCCCCCCAATGTCTGCCCAGAGCCCTCCAGGGCAGTCACCTCTCTCAGGGGTCAAAGCCCGAGTCCTCCTGGCTGCTCACAAGCCTACACAACCTGCCCACCCCTCCCTGGCCTTACTGCCCCCTTCTCTCACCTTCACTCTCTGCTCCAGTCACACAGGCCTTGCTGTTGTTCCAACCTGCCAGGCATGGTGCTGCCCCAGGACCTTTGCACTGGCTGTTTTCTTTCTGCTCATGGAGACCTGGACTCGATGTCACTGCAGGAGGCCCTTCCGTCTGTCCATCCGTATATCGTCTTTATGCAGTGACAACTAATCATTACGATTTTCCTGGATCAGTGTCCATCTCCCTCAACCACTGTGAGCCAAGTGTGGAGGCTGGGGGTCACCCGACAGGCCTTGGTCACTGCCAGTGTTTGGTACTCTGCACCACGGCTGGCTCACGGTAGGTTCTCAGAGCTTGTTTGTGGGATAAATAATGACCTTCTGGCCCCAGAGGAGCACCGGTCAGCGATCTCATCCAAGGGCCCCTTTCCAGCCAGAGGAACACAAAGAGCCAGAGAGAAACAGATCTCTGAAGGTCACACAGAAGTACAGTGTGAGCCCCACCGGCCTGACCAAGTAGAGGGGGACTCCGATGCCCCCAGCCTCTACCACCCCTAGAATCCCAACAACACGTGTTGCAGGTGACCTTGCAGGGAGCATTCACTAGGCATTTTACCTCCAAGCCCTCATTGCTAAATTCTCTTGATGCACCTGCAAGGTTGTGGTTATAACACAGTGGGAAACTGAGGCAGAGTGAACTGGGAACTTGCCTCAATTGACACCAAGCTTTAACCCGAGCACTTAACCTGAGAGACCCTTTCCTATTCCAGCCCACTGCAAATTCGTGGTTGCGTCTCCTCAGAGCCCGCCCAGAAGGAGAGTCTAAAGAGCCCTGTTAGGAAGTTTCAGAGCAATGTGGCCTGTCAGCCACTTTGAGGTACTCCTAGGGGTCTTCAGTAAGGACTTTATGAAGTGCCCTCCCCCCAACCCCCACCCCAGGGCCCTTCTAGTCACCAGTTATCTTAACTCCTTTCCAGAAGGAGACAACCAGCTCCATCAAACAGAATGGGTGCTGAAGCGGAGGACAGGGACTCTGTTAGAAGATGCCAAGAACTGCAGGAAGCTCAAGGGAGCAGGGGCTGCAGGAGGTCTGGAGGCTGGTGCTGGGGGATACCAAGGGAGGGACTCTGGGGGAGGTGGGCTCTGGGGGAGGTGGGACATGTGCAACTCCACCGCATCCTGTCTGTCTCTAGGCCTCCAGCTCTCCACCTGACACGTGGGACTGTTTCCAGACAAGCTGCAGGCATGTACTCAGCGTTTGCCTCTTGGTGAGGCTGTTTCCATGACAACAGTTGGGATTTGGTCTTAGGTACCCTCTGGTGACCTCACTTGACAAGCAGGGACACTGAGGCCTCCTGAATCCACATCGGATCACCAAGCAACCCAAAGTCCCCTCATCTGTTCAGACTTCAGGTGAGAAACTGGCCACACGGTGGAGGGAGTATTTGGGTCTGGAATCTGCACCTGTCTGACTGGTCTTTTGGCTTTGGGACCCCGTGTCCTGTCAGTGGGTTGGAAAAACCCCTCATTCCACCCCAGGGACCCAGGCACTCACCCACCATGAGCTTCCCAGGCCAGGTGGGAGAAGCACAGCCCGAGTGTTTGCGTGGCTGGGCACAGCTCTTTGTTCCGTCTCCATAGGTACAGCGTCCCTGGGCCGGCCCCACCCCCTCCCCTCCCAGCCACCCAGCCCTTGCAGGCCCGGCCCATCTAGGCAACTTGTTATGTTTTAAAGTTGGCGCCGCGGGCCTGGCATGGCTGCAGAGGGCATAGTCCGTGTTCATTCCTAAGGCAGGGCTGTGCCCTGCAAGTGGGAGGAACAAGGAGACCCCTGGGGACACAGCACAGTGAGTGCGGGGGAGTCTGAGCGGGTGGGGGCGAGAAGGAACCCTGGAAGTCTCAGATTCCTTCATTCAATTCTGGAAGCAGCGCTAATCCAGTGGATGACATTTCTCTCCACTTCACTTACAGGAAACAGAATCACAGGTCAAGTACATAGCGAGTGGCAGGGCAGGAACCCAGATTTGTCTGGTTCCGAGATGTGATGTCCCCAACCACGGACTAAACGGTTCTCACTGCTGAGACCCTCCCAGGGGAATTTGCTTCCCACAGCTGGGCTCAGACAACCTCAGGAAGTAACCTAGGGTCCAGTTTACAGCTGGCCTGCCCCTCCTTCAGGCTGGCCCCTAGGACAGAGGAGGCGCTGCTGCCTGCGAATCTGGGTCAGTTCACCTGCCAATTACTTCGGAGGAGACAGCCCCAGTTCACAGCTGGCAAAACTGAGGCCAACGCTTCGGGGCTTCAGGGCGCGGGTGCATCCCAGGTAGGCTGTCTAGGTGAGCCTGGGCCAGGCTGCCCCAGCTTCCTGGACAAGCACCGGGCCCCCCACCACCTGGAATGGGCTCTCCGACTCAGCAATCTGGCTCTAGCGCCTGGCGCCCTGCACTGCGAATGGGGCAGAGTCCATCAGAGTCCCCATGAGAGGTGGACGCTGGTGCGGGGCACGGTCCTTCACGGGGGTGGAGGGGCAGTTCAGCCCCAGGTGGTTCCCCCCAACCCCCACAGTGACAGAGAGAGATGGGGAAAGGGAAGAAACAGAAAAGGGAGAGGGGAAACTGAGGCAGGAATGGAGTGGGGCGGGGAGGATGGGGGAAGCTGTGCAAGAGAAGGGGGCGGGAGAAAGAGACGGCGGCGAGGCGGCCCTCGACATGCGACGAGATGGGGGCGCCCCGGCATCTTTCGTTCACCTGCTCTCCGCTGCCTGACCGTCGGGGATCTGTCCCGCCGCTCCGAGGGGCCGTTGCGGCAGCTGTCGGACTCGCGCCTGAGGACCGGGACAGGGACGGGGTGGGGCGGAAGCTGGGTCCCGCCCCCGTCGCCCCGCCCCTCGGGTAGACCCTGCCCCCGCCCCGCCCCTTCCCCCCGGAGGGGGGACTGCGGAGGGGCAGGGACGGGGGCGGGCCGAGGACGCCGTCCAGCCAATGGCAGTGTGGGCGACGTACGAAGAAACCAATGGGAGCAGGTCACACCGCGGGAGGGGCGTGGCCAGGTGGTCGGGGGATTCCTCCGGAATGGCCGGATGCTGGGGCCACTGCCCCCGGGATGGGACAGGGGGTGTGGGCCACAGAAAGGGAAGGAAGGAGATACAGTGGTGGGGAAAAGGAAAAGACAGAAACAAAAAGAAAGCCAGACCAACCATGTGGCTCTGGGGGAGTCCCTCCTCCGAAAACTGAGGACTCAGTGTATCTACCTTGGTCATTGCTATGAGGGCGAAGCATTTTTTTTTGAACCTGGAAAATCCTTTACACCAGAATTAGCTGGGCGCCCCCTTTAAAAGGCAGGTTCTTGCACCCTCAGACGGGCTGAATCTGGACCCAGGTTTGAAGCTAAATCTTTCAGAGTCGCAGGCAAATTCTTGGTTTAGGGCTTGAGGCAGTTACTGGGTGGACAGGGCCTAGAGACCCCAGCAGAGGACCCCAGCTCCAGCCTCAGTTTCCGTGGGACTGAGCCCTTGCGGGACATGCAGGAGCATCTTGGCGCCAGCGGATGGTGGGGGGCAGCTGGGCCCTCACCTCCCCTCACCCCCAGGATGCAGCTGTGAGTCCTGGGAACCGGGCCCAGCAGCAAATCCCAGCTTCCCTGCTGCTGTTTCCTCCCTGCAGCCCCAGCTGAGTCCCCAGTGGGGCTAAGGCCATGGGAGGCCAGAGCAGACGACAAACGTTGGTTATGTGCCTGCTGCGTATGGAGTCCTGACGGGCACACCAGGGCACATGTGTCATGAGTCAAAAATAAACTCCCCTCCCATGTTGTAGGGGGAAACTGAGACCCAGAGTGGGGAAGGACTTGCCTGAGAACACAGTCACTAGTGGCAAGGCCAGGATTCAAATCCAGGAGTGCCCCTCCCATCTCCCCCACCCCAGCTGGGTCCTGCCCTCTCTCTAGTCCAGGGTTTCTTATCTTGTGCCTCCTTGGTGGAGTGGGGCTGTCGGCACATAGGTGTTGAGTAGCACCCCTGGCCCTCACCCATTCAATGCCAGTAGCATCCCCCAAGTCATGACAATTAAAAATGTCTGCAGAGGAGCCCTCCCTGGTGGCGCAAGGGTTAAAGCACAGCACTATGAAGCTATCCAGGCCACTGTAGCACCAGTTCAACCCCCCTGCCCAGGGGGTGACCCACATGGTGCAGCAGACCTCTCCTGTCCCACCCACTACTCCCCTCAGCAGTGTACTTCATCAATCTGCCTGTTGTGCTCCCCACTCTGTCTCTGGTGAATCCTCTCACTGCCCCCCACACACACCTCTAGCCTGTACCCCAGCTCTGTGTGCCTAAATAAAAATAAATCTTAAAAAATATGTATCTGCAGCTATTGCCAAGTGTCCCCTGGTGGACAGACTTGGCCTCGTTTGGGACTTATTACTGTTATTTCCATTTCTTTATGCCCTCTGAATCCTAAACTATGGAAAGTCCTTTGGAGAGGGGAGCTGGGGGTGTCACAGAGGCAGGGGATCTGTTTTTAGCACCTCATAGAACTGTAGAAATTGTTTCTTTGTGTCCAGGGTGGACATGGGCAGTAATTTGGTGTGACTCAAGAGAATACAAACCCAGCTTTGTCACTCTGCCCCTATGTGCTCATTAATTTGAGTCTCCATTTTCAAATCTGTGGCACGGGAATAATAAAGACTACAGGTCCACAGATAAGGACAAATTAAAAGTGCTTCAAGGATGCAGAGAATTTAGAACCTTCCCACATTGCTGGGAGAATATAAAATGTTACAGTGACTATAGAAGACAGCAGTTCCTCACAAAAATCTAAACAGAGACTTGCCATCAGACTCAATGATTCCACTCGTGGGTCTCTACCCACAGGATTTGAAAGAAAGGACTTGAGCAGACACTTGTACAACAACGTTGACGACAGCATGATTCACACTAGCCTAAAGGTGAAAACAACCCAGAAATCCATCAACAGATGAACAGATGCAACCAACGTGATCTACCCATATATTGGAATATTATTCAGCCACCAAAAGGAATGGATAAGACTTGGAAGCATAAAGTGAAAGATACTGGACATAAAAGGACAAATGCTGTGTGACCCACTCACACGAGATCCCAAGAGGAGTCACATCCATTGAGACAGGAAGTAGGTGGTGGTGCCGGAGGCTGGGGATGGCAGTTAGTGTTTAATGAGGACAGGGTTTCAGGGGGAGAAGAAGGGAAAGTTCTGGAGCTGAGGCTGAGGCGGCTGCACAGCAGCCTATATGTGCTTGATGATGCTGAGCTGAGCACTTCAACATGGTGACGACGTAAATTGTGTCATGTATTTACCACCGTTTTAAAAAATGAAGGATGTGATATAGTAAAAACTCAGTTGTATACTGTAAATGGGCGACTTGGATGTTAGACGGATTATATCCCAATAAAGCCAGTTTATTTTAAGTACACAGCAGCTGTCAGGTAATAGGAACAATATTATAGCTAATGTGTATTGAGCTCCTATTATGTGCCAATCTCTATTAGCACTTTACCCACATTCAGTCACTGAATCCTCAGAGCAGCCCAGCCCTGTCGTCATCTGTCCCAAGATGCTCAGCTCTATGGCGGGACCACAAAGAGGGACGTCCTGAGCCAGCTGTTATGTGTACAGCTTCTCTGGGTGCCCTGAAACCTTGAGGCTGCAAGAGGAGGCTCCCGAGTCTAGTGAAGAAAAGAGTAGACAGGTGAGTATTGGGGGCTCAGCCTGGAACCAGAGGCTGTTCTCAGAGTCTGAGTTGGGCTCAGCTGGCACTCAGAGATGTGGATGGAGGAATCCACAAAGTCGAGAGCTCAGCCCAGATGGGGGTCTCGGCCAGCATCGCGCTTAGCTAGACTGGGGCTCCAGTCTAGAATCTCAGCTTAGAAGCAGGGCCTTATTCTGGGTCTGCAGCTCCGCTCAGAGTTGGGGCTCAGCCTCGAATCACAGGTTTATCCAGGATTGTGGGTGTAGCGGGTAGGGGGATCTTCGGGGTGGGAGGTTAGCTCAGAGTCGGGGCCTCTATCCGGGATCATGCTTCAGCAAAGGTAAGGACCCAGCCCAGAGTGGGGGCTCAACTCTGATGAGTGGGTTCGGGCTTCAGTCTCGAGACCGGGGAGGGTCGTAACTGAGCCGAGCCGACATTCCCCAGCAGGGGGCGTGCTCTGCTCACAGCCGGGCCGGTCGCGCGCCTTTGCTTTCCCGGTAACGGGTTGAGAAAGCGGGGGTCGGGTGGGTGGGAGGCGGCGAAGGGGAGGGCAGATCTGCGTCTAGGGCAGGGTGCGTGGGTGCAAATCACCCCAGATCTTTGACCCATGCAGCGTCATCTTCACCCCGCGGGGCTGTGTGACTCGTCGCGTGCGAGTAGGTTCTCTGGGCCTTTGCCTCGCGCCTGCGCAACAGGACCAGGGTGGGGGCGTGGAGGTGAGGGCTAGGGAGGGGGTGAGGGAAGAAGGAGGTGGGGAAGTAGCTCTGGGGGGTGTTGGGAGGAATTGCGGCGGGGAAGCCTCCGGGAGCCCCTTTCCCGCGATCCCGCTGTCAGGGCGTCCGGGGGACAGTGGTAGTGGCCAGAACACCTCTCCGCCCACGCTCCAGACCCAGTCGTCACTCCCACGTGCCCACGATCCATCTGTTCCTGGCCCATCTGTCTATCCCTGTAAAACCCATCCCAAGGCCTCTTAAGAAAGGGAGTGGGTGGGCGAGCCCAAAGCGGGCAGGGAGGAGAGGGTGAAGTCGCTTGAATCCCCATTACTGGCCAAGCCAGGACATGTCCCCCAAGGGTGCTGGCTGTGGGGGGCTGTCTTCAGCGGTCCCCAGCGCCCAGGGCCTGGGCTTCCCCTCACTCTGGCTAACAAGGAGCGAGAAAGTGGGGGTGGGGGGAGGGGAGATCCTAAAACAATTTCAGTCCTCTGCCTCCTTCACCCCCATCCTTCCCCATCCTTCCCCATCTTCCTCCCGGCTGCCTGCTGCAAAGAAGCTGAGGAACTCGGGCCCAGCGGGAGGATGTATTTACAAGTGTTAGCCGCGCAGACGCCAGCCGGCCGCCTGCGTGTGGGAGGCGGGCGCGCGTCTGCAGGAGGAGCAGCCGGCTGTGGGCCTGTGTGTGCACGTGTGTAAGTGGGTGCTGTGGCCGGGGAGCATGGTCAGGTCTGTCTCTGAGGGCAATGAGCTGCTCTGTCCTTCCTGGCAGGAGGAAACTTCTCCCCTTGAAGCCCCGGTTACTCCACCTGGAGTTAGGTGCTGTCACCAACCCGATGGAGAGATTGGTCAGGCCGGGAGGGCAGGAGTCAGTGCTCAGAGGTGTGATGCACGCAGGTGCTGGTCACCTCCACAAGAGGTCAGGGATGGGATAGGGACCTAGGCACCCAAGGAGTCTTCCAGGGGGAGGTGACAGCTGGGCAGGCACTGTAGGAGTCACGGGGAGAAGCAGGAAGGAAGGTCCTTTTCATGCTGGGTTCTGGGCCTGCCTTACTGACCCTGGGCCATCATAGGTCCACTCTGAGGGCACTTCCTCATCTATAAATGCCCAGCTTGGAGGGCAGTTGGAAAGATTGACCAGGAGCATGTAATAGAGACTTCAGTCCAATGTGAGGGCCCAGCTTGAGAACTGTTTTTATTGGGGGAGGGGGAGAGGGTTGTTACCTGCCCCTAGCAACTCCCAGGCCAAGGGAAAGGGGCACTCACAATGAGGTTTTGGGGCCAACGGGAAATGTTTTTCCAGACTACAAAACAGGGAGCTCAGAACATTTCAGTTGGTAGCTGAGAAAGCAGAGCCCAGAAAGGACTT